AAATTTATAATATTTGATTTATTGAATTTTCCGATACACGTTCATTGTATTTATTATTAGCTCCATTTATCTCGGTTGGCGGCAGCTAATAAAAAAAAATTTCTCACAACTGTAAATAATCTGTATTGAAAAATCATTGATGTTGGAATAACAAGTTTGCTAGTTTGTTTGTTAGTTTTTTTTTTGTTTTTTTAAAAAAGTTTTTATGGTTTTTGATGAGCAGGGGAAATCGATAAGATATCCCCACCCCGGTGCCCTGGGGAAGGAGCTCAGACTCACTTTCTATATTCAGGGGCCGCTGGATGTGAAAGTCTTTCTTCGTATAAGATTATCCTTTTGAATCAACTACATATGAGAACATATCACGGCTTACTTTTAAATAATGAAAGTATTCTGTCCAACGGTCCAGCCATGTTAAGAGATACCTAGGTACTGAATTTTTGAATTTCACAGCATAAACAAATGTTGATATAAAGTAAGAAGCATCGTTTTATTCAGCAGAGCCATAGGTTTATTAGTTAATTTTAGTTATTAATTATAGCATTTGAATAAAAAAAAAAATCTATCATATAATTTTAAAGTTAATGGTTTTGATTTTAAAATTTCTAATTTCAATATTTTTCTCATTATTATTATTTTTTAAAAACTATAATTTTTATTTAATATTGTGTTGGTCTTTATTTATCATTATTTTTTTTTTATAAAATAAAATAAAAACGGAACATATGGACAACGGGGGGACGTTAATAAATTAATAACTTGACTTTTATTCTTGTGGTACGTGTGCATAGTGTATTAAATGGAAAAATCTCACGGAAAAATGCAATTGAAAGTTGGGTATTTTCACAGGTGCAAGTTCAATTTTTCGATTTTAAACCCATGATTCTCAAAGAAATGTTGAGCTGTGCAATAGCCGCATAACTAAACCCATCAGAAACAAAAAAAAAAAAAAAGAGAAAGCTTACTGGTGATACCCTTAAAATTCTCAAAATTTCATGTAATACACTTTGCACAGGCGCTACAAATTTATATATTTATTTCAATCGGTTACTAAGTATATTCCCCCTGGCTTTTATCATCATTATTTTATTATAATTAGTATTATTTTGTTATTAGCGGTAAACTTTCTAGAAATAATGTTTGTACTATCACCATTTGTTTAATGAAAATAATTTGTAATATCAGTTTAAATAAAACGGTCAATTTAAAAATAATTTATCAAAATAACAGATAAAACTTATGATAATCGACACACTGCACGTGATAATCGAATTAATTTCAAGCGGCAGGAATAAAATTAATTCGCATGGGTTCTAAAACTTTTTTTTTCAGAAAGGTGTGGTTTAGATAATTTTATTTTTTATTCTTGTTTTATGATTTATTACGTTTTATTAACGTATTTATGACCCTAAGCCCTTTAGTTCCTGATCTTGATGAGAAAATTTATTTTAGTTTTTTTCTCCGTTCTTCTCTTCTTCGCCTTTTAAGCTAGAGCTGTATGGGATTTTCCAGGACCAGGTGGTGAGGACTTAAATATATTAATTTAAGTTTGATGCCATCCAAGAATTTTTTTCCAATTGAAATATAATAATATTAATTGACGATTTCTGTGGCAACTGTGAAAAGTGTGTAAATACAATTTTGTGAATTTTTATAGTTATCCCCAGAAAGCTATTTTTCTCTCATTCTCTCTGTCTTATGGGCTATGAATTATGCGACTATGAACATTCCTTTGTGATTCGTGAGTTGAAACTCGAAAATTTAACTTGTAAACTGAAGCACCTGTGAAAATTTCAAACTTTCAATCGCGTTTTTCCATAAATGTGATTTCATCTCTTAACATACTATGCACAGGTGCCACAGACAATATCATATTATTTTTATATGTGAAATAACTCATTATATGTGAAATAACAATCTTAAACCACCACGTATTGGTAAAGAATTTACAAATTGTCATAACCTCATTTAATTTGGGAAAGGTCATTTTATCTGATAAAATAGACCAAGTCTGTAATATTTTCTTTCGTTTATGATGCAAGACTTGCTCGAAGGTCGGACTTACACAAGACGTAATCTTTTTTTTTTTTTTAATCACTCACTAGAGCTCAGTGATCATTCGGTCGCTATAGGTTTTTCTTATAATTTTTGATAATAACTAGAGGGGTACCCAATGTCCGCCTAACGGCGGATCAACCCTCATTTTACAAATTATACAACTGTTCATTTAATCGTACTACTCGTTGCTCAGTGTATAGTTTTAATTTACATGTATTCTGTAAATAAGAATATTTTTTATCAAATTAAAATAAATTGAAGAAAACCACAGCTCTTAAAAATTTAGAATTTATTTAAAAATCTGTATTATTCATCGCGCCTTATTGCCAATTTAAATTATTATACAACTATAATTATTCTTATTGCCAATTTGTAACCATAATATATATTTTATCTTTCAGTAAAATGTATGGTTACTTTTACTAAATATTTCAAATACTTCCAACCTTGATGATATATAAGACCTATTATTATTTTTATATTACTATTATGTTTAAACATGTAATCAAGAACCTGATTTCACATTGTTACTTTCACTTTATTTAAAGGGGAAAGCAATATTGACCGTTTACCATTTACTTTTGCAAAGTTTTAATATTTTTGAGAATTATTTAATAATTAACTTTTCCGTCGCTTCTTAGTGAATTTATTTTTTTAAATAAAAAAAAAACAATGGAAACGTTTAACATCAAATAATTTAGAGACAGATAATTAAGTTAAATAATTAAGTTCAGTATTCAGTTCAGAGACAGAACTCATCCTAATCGGTAATAGTAAGGATGGCAATTAGCTTTAACAGCGTTAATTTCGATTTATTTTACCGGAAAATTCTCACTTTTTTAATTGGGGAATCTGTTTGTCAGTCTTATATCTGTTTGGAATGAATCTTTGAATACGTTGCGGGCGCTGGGACTTGGGACTTTACGGTGGGTTCACACGGGGTCGTGAAACGGGTAAGATGGAATCATTTGCCTATATTTTTATTTCTTCTTTTGTTATACATTATAAATTATTCGCTTTAAACTTTTTTTAACACTCATAGGGGATAGTATTCCTCGTAATGTCAAAATGAATATTTATTAGAAAAAAATAATTTTTTAAAGGATATTGAAAGATATTCGATAATTAGTATGTGTGTGTCTAGAGGCTACTTTGTACTATTTCAAGTGGAAAAGAATTATGGTCAGTTTTCAGTGTATCTTAAAAAGTTACGTTTTCGAACTTGTGTTAATTCCCTTCCAGAATTGATGTTTCATTTATTGGAATATGTGTTGCAATGGGAAAAGGCGTGTTAAAATTATTTAGTATTCGGATCATCAAAAATTAAGGGAGAATATTCAAAACTTTTTTTTTCTATGATGCACTGACAAATCGCTGAATAATTGCTAACATGAGATGTCTGGGTGGTCCAACTGTGAAAGTGATTTGTTGATAGGAGGTGTAAGATGATGATCGGGTAGCCCTCTAAATATCCTCAATAGATGTACCAAGATCGTCTCTGTCATTAATCTTTACTAATTTTAAAAAGGAATAGAGAACAGGTTTCACGTTCGTTAAGCGAACAGAAAAAAAAAAGTTGAAGCGTTGGAAGTGAAAGTAACTTGTCCCTGACTGTATTCTGTGCTGGGTGACTTACCAAAGAGTAACTTCGGAGTTTTCAAGCTCTATTACAGGTTGTAAGGTCCAGTAATCGTCGTAAAATATGTTATCAGTTAGCTTTACGTTTCTATTAATATGATGTTTGCTTCATAAAATCTTAACTTTTTTTATAGGAAAATAACACATTATAATGCTGAGGAATCTATCGTTGTGTAAGTTCGCCATGTTTAATTTTAGATTTCATTTTGTTTAGTTTTATGGTGAGCGGAGAAGCTCAGTGGTCTGGGCTCTGACTTCCATAGCTTAAGATCCTGGGTTCGAATCCTGGCTGATGGCAAATAAATTATTTATTCTGTTTCATCGGCTTTGGTTCGATCCTGGGTTCGGCAGACCTTCCTGAGACAAACCCATTCTTTATAAACTGAGTGCTCTTAATTAATTAATTTATTAAGGAGAAAAATCCGGCGGTTGAGACTGGTCTCAGTCAAAACACCTCCTAGTACAACCGTTGACCATGAAACAGTACTTCTCAACATGGTACTGAACCCATTCACGGGTTACAGATTTTGTTTTTGTCTGTATAATTTTACTTTCTTGTTTAAGTTATAAATAGTTTTAAATTCATAATAATTTATAATCGACTAAATAATTATTTTCAAGTTTAGTAATTTTTATTGAAGCCAAACAATAAAAGAAATAAGGGTTAGATCAGCTGCGTTATTTACAAGATTATTGGGGACGTGGTGCATTAATGGATATATGTAAAAAAAAAAAAAAAGTGAGTTATTTATCCACGGTGAGCTAATTATGTTCCGTTTAGTATGTTTGAGAAGAAGTTTAAAAAATGTTATGGTGTTAAGTAGTACCTAATGGATAAGGATAAATTTGATTATTTTTTTAAGAAGGGGGTACAATATGAAGTTTGTATTAGACCAGTCATTCTTCGATTGACCACTTGTTCAATATGTTCTGAGAATAAAACCTAGCTATGTCAAAACGCCAAGATTTTTTATCTGGTGTTGATATAAGACGGATTTGCTAAGCTTGATTATAACCTTGCATTGAGGTGTTCTGGATAGTGAAGATGAGATTTCCCATAATTTTAAATGGCACGGGAGTGTTCAGATCAGATTAGATCTCATTAATAAACAGAAGGATGTATAGGCAGAAAATTGAGATGCCTGATTATTTCTGATTGTGAGACAAACCGCATTGACCTGTGATGTACTGTGACGTAGCTAAAGGGCTGATATAATAGAGCTTTCATTAGTAAGGACAAATTAATTGTTATTACATGACTTCCGTTGTGGTGATGTTATGGTGGCACGGCAGGTAACCATTGTCTATTGTTCTCTAGGGGGCAAACTATTTTCATACTCGTTGGTGCCTCTGATGACAAAAATGCAAAATATGGAAGCGGCCTCGTCCTGATTTGGAGGAAGTTGAGTTGTCACGGTGGTGGGTAGCTGTGACATGTTCTTCATGTTCTTGACCGTGGCTATTGTCAGGAGGAAATTCAATGTAAAGTTCTTTTCCATCTTCATGTTATGTCCTTCGTTATACGTTACCGCTACTTCCATTTTATTGAATATTTTTTATACTTGCCAAATTACCAAGATTATTTGGAATGTGATAATCAGGCAATAATTATTGATTTCCCGTAAAAATATTTTTAAAAACTGTGATTGTTCACTTAATGGTCCTCACTTCAGTTTGTCTTTTTTTTGCCCCAATAATTTTATCAAAACTAATTTATGATAATTATTAAAAGTAAAAATATATTAATAGTAACAATTTATATTTTTATTTATATTTTAAGTATTAGAATGATACTACAATTTTTAAAAAAATGCGTCGATGTTTTTGAAGATTTAAATTACTTTTATCCTTAAATGCTAAACACAGAAAAAAATAAAATAAAATGGTTTTATATGAAACCTACATGTTGTCGACAGATAGATAAAAAAGGATGTCCTGAAAGGACATCAGTATCAAAATTATGGTAATACTTAAGTGCAAACCTGTCTCGTTGTCAGGATTTTACTTAGGAGAAAAATAATAATAATAATCCTAATAATAATAATAATCCTAATAATAATAATAATCCTAATACTTTTTCCTCTTGGAGAAGGAATAAACGAGATTATTATTTAAAAGTTTTTTTTTATAAAGATAAATTAATGTTATATGTGATGCACAAATATAGATTTCCAGAAGTAAATTATATATATGTAAATGTCAGAGGAAAAAGGGCGTTGAAGCTCCCTTTTGTCTCTGATGAAGTTTATATATACAAAATTATACATAATTGGTCCTCCTTATTAAAAGAATCCTGGAAAATTGATTTTTTAATCGATTTGATAGTGTTCGGTCCTCTTATCAGAATGCAGATAAAAGTTATAACGAGTTTCCCTTAGCTTAACTGTTGTAATTTATTTGAAATCAATTGTGTTTATTTATAAATATACTCGTACTCGATGAATTAAAAATCATTCCTTGTACCGGCTTGTTAACTTAAGTCGAAAGTGAAGTTATTTGTGTTTGTATTGCTGGTGACTTCATTGCTGTGGAAGGAAATGGCTACATCGGAAGGCGCTGAGGATATTTGCAATGACACAGGTTCCCTTTTAAAGAGGTATTTTGACGTTGAGGTCAATATTGGCACTGTGCAGAGCAAACCCATTAGCTGTCGTGATTGCGAGTATTGCTTGTCTAGTATATCACAGCGCCGCACCATCTTCAGCAGATTGTGTTTACTTCAAGATAGTTAAAGTAACTTTTGTAAATATGTTCGTTGATTTTGCATTAATTGCTCTTACCAATAATTAGCTTTGTCTATATGCCTGTTACCAATGGAGAGATAACCTAATCCGTAATCCTTATCTAGGATTGAGGTGTTGATTCTTGTGTTGTATGTGAAGTGTTGTTTAATCAAATCCGTGCCACGGAGGTAAAAGACACGGTGTCCATTTTTTCATCAAATAATTTAGTAATGAAGAAACAAATTTTAATAGCTCAAATTTGTTTAAAATTGGCTCCCTGAAGAAATACAAAAATGTAAAATAGTCTCCTTTACCTCCAGATTGCAGATTTAATAAAAAACAAATTTTAATATTGTAAAGTTACATTGGCTTCCTTGAACGAATAAAAAAATGGATATAGTGTTGTTGACCTCCGGGGGCACAGATATTTTTCTATTATGATTTATCTTAATTAAACAAAAGATTCTGTGGAAGAAATTATTCTGTTGGACGGGAATCTGATTATTTCATTGATTAAATGGTGTTTGTCGTGATATCGTTACCGTTTTTAATTTTTGTTTTCATGAACGTAATTAATGGGACACTATAAATATATATTTTAATATAAATAATAATATTTTTTTTGATATTTTTAATCATTATAATTATATAATGACGTTGCTTATTCCTGATTTTTAGGTCAGTACACTATTCATTTTTTTCGAAAATATCTTTATTAATAATGTTTTTAAGACATTATGCAAACCTTTGGTAATAACCGTCAACTTTAGCCACAGCCAGATATCATCTATAGGTCTTGTCTTTTTATTTTTGAACTATCAAGAATCTTTACTCATGACTAGTTGAATGATTTTATTTAAGTTCAGAAACGTTACTTCTAAATGTGGGTCGAGCCTCTAGATTCGTCTGTCTTAGTACTTTCACTCACGATCTTTAGTGCTAAGTATAGTTGTTACTATACTATAGATAGTGGAAATTTTGATTTCTATTGATAGAAATCTGGTTCTTTGAAATTTTGATTATCTTATTGTGCTTATTCTCTTGGAGTGCCATAGAGCGAATTTTTCAAGGATTAAAGAAAAAGTTATGATTTTTATTTAAAAAAAATTCATTTATGATAATTCGTCTGAATTTACTTAAATAACATCCTTTTATTATATCTTCTCTCATTCTTTAATGACTGAAGAGAAATGAAATTTGAAAGAAATAATAAACCTGTTATTGAAATAAGTATCTATCGCTTGGAGTACCTAGACCTACATACGGTAGTTTATTATGTACTAACTTTCCATTTGCCACTCATGGTGACTCATAACCATGACTCTTCATCACCTAATATATTACTGAGTTTATCCAGTTTCAGTTGCCAAATCTTTTCAACTTTCAATGTACACCTCCCATTGATGCTTGGTCCACCGTTAAAGTCTCTAGTGATATCAACCGAGCATTGAAGTTTCTTGAAAATCTACTTTTTTTTTTTTGTCGAATGTTGTACTCAATCGTGTATTTTATTATTCTGTATAAGTTTACTCTGTTTTATTTATTTTTATTATAATATGAATAATCTTATACGGAAACTCTAGCTAACATCTTTTGAAGGTGTTACTTTATTCTTGCTATCAATAAAAATAATTTATTAGCATGTTGGCTCTTCTCGATTAATAAATATATAATCAAACAGTTTAAAATTATAAATCTAAGTTGATTACATTGAAACGTCTGTGTGGAAACATGTTCGAAAGGGGAACAACATTCTATTCCATCGTAAAAAAATAAGCACTATAAATATTATACTTTAAAATTAAAATATGTCTAAACTATATCTAACTATAAAACTTCAATTTAAAATTACTAACATTTTTTTATGTAGGTATCTGTAATTTGTGTTACTTATGTGAAAATATACATAGAAAAATTTGCAAAACTCAATTTTTCTGTTTTTCTACTATTTTAAGAAAAAAATAAAAGTAAATTTTATTCTGGGACATTTAGTATGCTTAGAAATTTTTCTGAAAATAAATATTAATTTATAATTTTTTTTTAAACGGCTGATGTTTATCGAAATTAGCCATCATCCGTTGTACATAGTATATACATAGTACCTAGCTATGACAGTGAACAAGACTTGAACCTTTAGAAAAGTGTAATCTTAATGGTTAGCGAAAGTAGGAAGGCATTCCTTGAGCTGTAGCCAAAACTTAACCACTAATGGATAGGAAGAAGGTTAACCATTTCCAATGTGTTGTAACCGCATTCACCAACATGAGTTTATGGTTAGCACTTATATTTTATTAGCTCTATAATAAGGTTTATACAATGGCATGTTAATAAATATATGACTAATTGAAAAAAAAATCAGAAAATTATTGTTCAATGGTTTATTGTTATTTTTATGAAATAAAATGGTGGGTTGTAATTATCTCTAAATATTCGCATCCGTCATTTGTAATAAAATTGGTAATGTTAATAACGTATTCTAAGGATTATCTTTGTATGATTTGTAATACTGAACTGAATAAAAAGAATAACCGAAATTCGGCCAGTTATTAAAAAGTGATAATATTTTTAAAAATTACATCTATGGACTATACGTGCCTTGAAAATTAAACTCTCAAATTAAATTTTGAGGAAGGAAGTCATTTATTCTGTCGGATAGTTAGAAATGATATTAGAAATAATAATTTTTAAAAATCACAACTTAAATATGGTATGTTACTTTTCTTTTTCAGACCATAATTATTATTATCCGATTGTCAAGTTTAATTTAAACAATATAAGTAAACTATTAGTAATATTAACATAATCATATTCTTTGAAAACAAATAGTTTATATGCTATACAGTAATAATCAATTATTTTTATTCCGGTGTCTTCAGCAGGACCTATTTCCGACCATTACTTATTCAAATTTGTCTTATTTTTATTTTATTTGTCAATATGAGAATTAGGAAAAATAAGAATATTTGTATTTATGAATTCAAAAGTGTTTGTTTAAAAGAGAAAACAATTCTTAAGTTCTTTAAGCAACCACTAGATGGCTGCTGATAGCTGACCGTCATACCCAACACCTGTTAAGACTTATTTGATCAGGATTTTAAATATTTCCGAATCTGTTTTTATCTCTACGATATTCATTCCTGTTTTATTATTATTCTTTCATGATATTGTGGTCTGAGCCTATTGTAAAGCAACATGAAGAACAAACGTGTTTCAAAACTGAGAGAAAGTGTTTTATGAAAAATAAGAAAATGAAATTGTAAAATATCAGAAGATACAAATTATTTTATTTTATGTTATATATAGAACACAATTATAATTTTCTTCTTATCTTATTTCATCCTTTTATATTATAGTATACAATGATATGAAAATCATATCATTGTATCAGATCATACTAATTTTCCATTGCATTTGTCTATTTTTCATGGTATTAACCAGTCTCCACTGTCTATTATGGAATATTGTTTATATTATTGCTGATTGTAGCTGAATGATATCTAGATTTTTTCCACTTTCCCAGCTGCTGTGTCATTCATTGTTGTGATCCTCGTTCGCATCTCGTATGTTCTTATCTTACTGTCCTGGTACTGAATTCATTAAGTAATTCCATATTTTTTTTCCCTTATCTTTTTTGTTTCTAATTCATTCTCCATTGACAAATAGATATCAACTAGACATCGAGGACGATCCTTTGGATACCTCTGTTCTCCTTTCCTGGCTTTGAAAGACCAATTCCCAAAATCAATAAAAGATCTTTGGTCCAATCTGCATAGTCAGCTCAGATCAAAGTTACAACTTCATTCTTTTTAAAAATCTTT